TGTTCAACTAATATTGTTATGTTCAGAAACACTGTTTTTGTTGAGTTCTGCCACTGAAAAACATTGATGATTTACAATTATTTATCAATAGTTTTTGAGCTCTATTAAATAGACTGAATACTTTATTTTCCATTTATTTATGTCAGATGCATAAATGTTTTTCTATGAATAACCCAAAAATAACACCAAAATATTTTTGTAAACAATTGGCAATTATGTGCTTGGTAGCACTCAAAGTTAATTAGCTTCTGTTAGCCCTGTAGCAAAATTAACTAGTGACTGAAATAGTTCTCCAGCTTCAAAGATTGTAGTGGGGTATGTTAGTCCATTATTTTCCATAACATAATGAAAATATTCTTCCCAAACCTCATCTGTTTCCTCTTCTCTTGACCCACCCAGAATTTGTTGTTCTACTTCTTCTAACTTGCATAGTGGAACTTGTGCTAGGCAGTCTTGCCTGTCTCCTCCTGATTGTTCAGGGAGGAAATAGAGAATATCTGGAACGCCAGGTATGGTCGTTTCATGGGATTTCCTTATCCTATGTGAATTCCAGTGCTGTTTTGCTTTGTCTAGATCTGTTTGAAAAACATCTGCAAAACAGAACCATAGTGCCTCTTTATGGATGTCGTTTGTCATGTCAAGAATACCTGACTGCAAAAGGTCAGCAAAAAAATCGATCCACCAGCTAGAACGTAGCTTTCTTAGTGAAGACCAGTAGCACTCTATTCTTTGGTTTCTGGGACTTGATAAATACTGGTGAGCTTTTGATCCAGAAAATTCATCTTGCTGATTGGCGCGAAGATAACATTGCATGGCAGCAATTAAACCATTTTCGGTTCCACGGTCAGTTAAAAGACGGATAGGGCATCCCCCTGTGGCTTTGACGTAATCGAAAAAATACCTGGCAATAACCTTTGGGTTTTTGTTTGACCGTTGAACTTGCAGCCACAATATTCTCCGTCTAAAGCCGTCGATGCATCCGTGGATTGAAAAGCCATAGGGCTTGAGTTTATCGTAGCCATCTGCATGCCAGGCAAAATTTGGTCCTGGACTAACATAAGTACGACGGTGAAGACGTCGGCGTTTTCGAAGTTGAACTCCTTCCGGATCGACTTCTTTCATTATGGATGCGACTAGCTGACGAGGAACATTAATGTGGTGCCGTAGTCTTAAAATATGCCACGTCGTACGATATCCATTTAAACTGTCAGGCCCAGCCGAGAGCTCTTCCTTTATGATATTTCTAGCTCTGCCTTCAACATTTTCGTCAACAAGTTCGCGACGCTGTAAACCAAAATCTTTCAGTCTCCGTTTTAAAGTTCTCTCTGACAGTCGTATGCCGTGGTACCTTTGTAAAAAAAGCACAATATTCTTGTATTCGAACCCTTTATGAAAATAGTATTCAATAATCTCTCTTTCTGATCCAGAATTAGGTAAACCTTCCCTATCAAAGTTGTTCAAACGGTTCAAATCTTCCTCGTCTTCCGCCATTTTGTTTTGAAAGATTCGCCCCAGTCTCCTCGCGTTAACCTGCGCGCGCAGCGTTTTAAGAGGTTTAGTAAAGACATGCTGCACATTTTTAGTGAGAGAGTGTGTGTTCATTTTTAATAAAATGTAATATTTTTTTATTGAAGTAATGGTCTGCACAAAATTCGAATGAAAGTGGTAGTAGAAAATAATATTAGTATTATTTATCTTTGTTAAAGTGATGTCCCTTCTGGGCCACCGTAAGTTACATACTGCTTGGTTATTGATTGATTGTATATTTCCTGTTGTAACAAAGGAGGATGTGAAATAAGGATGTGTGTACCATTTAAACAACCTAATGCTTGTTTGTGGAAAACCGTTTCCATTTGCTTAATTATAATTGCCTCATTTCTTGCTCCGATGCAGGACGTCAAACTTTCCGTGCAACATTTAAACTGACACAGTACAACTGGTAACATCGAATGCTTTTCCGCATTGGAAACATCCTCTCTAGGTCTTGCACGTAACTCTCTAGGTAAGGTCGCAGTTCGTCCACCTAAGTCATAAATACTTATCCATTCTCAGATTTTTTTTCCATTCAGATACAGTAAAACTTTATTAATGAGTTTTAGCCACCATTACTCTGTTTTACATTCGATGACATAGAACTCGCGCTAGTTTTTGGTGATAACCCTAGCCAGTGGTTTGTGACTGAGTAAACTGATGCGTTCAAATACTCGTAACTGAACACTAGGTTCATATTATTCTGACACTGCAGAGTAAATTCGTTGTCTCGAGCGGGAACCTAACTCGCATCTTCGGGTTTCTAGACCGGCGCTCTGCCCATTGACCTGTCGAATCAACGGGAATTAGTACCGAGTCTTAACCAGTTTAAGTGTACGAAATATTTTCGCGTTGGCGCTAACCTAAAGTCTGTCGAACTGCATGATAAAAACAGGGTGTGGCATGTTTTACTGGAACTTTTACTTGTTGTACTATCTTATTGATTAATATTTCCGCAGGATCCTGTAATATTCGCTGGTTCCGTTCGTGATAATTTAGATCCATTTTCTAACCATACAGATATTGAACTCTGGAGTGCACTAGAACAGGTATAATTATAGAATAACGTTCTACTTGACCTTTTCTGGTAACATGAAGAGAGATTACTAGTTTAGAGAAGGTATTTTATAAAATGTATTTTTTAAAACTTGTTTTAAAATTTCTTTCATACGAATCTATGTAGGTCCAGCTGAAGGACGTTGTCAACAATTTTCCTGAGAAATTAGAATTTCAGATAACAGAATCTGGTAATAATCTAAGTATTGGACAACGTCAACTTATCTGCTTAGCTCGAGCAATAATAAAACATAACAGAATATTAATTATATATGAGGCAACGGCTAACGTTGATCACAAGTAAGTTTGCATCGTATCTTGTGCTCATTATGTGGTTTGAATCTTGTAAATATTTTGTTTTGACTTGCTCTGTTTTGTTTTAACTCTGTTCACTTTCCTTGCCTTTATTATGTGAAGTCAGTGCGAAAGTAGATCACTTTCACCGCCAAAAATCTTTGTGACATGCACAATCAATTAAACTACACACACACACTACGTATTTTGATACCTGATTAATTTGTTAATTTAGTTGTTGTATGGTGGCTGAATTGATTTAATGATCAATTGATCAAGGGATATCGATTGATTGCTTCATTGTGGAGAAAATTTTTAAAATTTGGATCCCTGAAATGGCATTTGCAGCATTCTGAGAGCGCATTTTGTAAAAAATTTCAGGCTTTCAAAACATTAGTTTAATTGTGCATTTTGTTATAAATCATATGCTCTAAGCATAAAAAACGACATTTCAGAGAAAATATTCTGGATGATTAAACACATTTGTGATTGGAATTGCAAGGTTGTTTAACTATTTCTCGACAAGTCCCAAAGTCCCACGCATTGTCAGCTTCTAGAAGCTGACGACTTTGTATGTTCATATCTTTGTATGTTCATATCTTTGTATGTTCATATGCTATGAAGACAATAATACCACCATTCGATTCAGTGAAACAATATCGACTAATTCGTCACGATAGCTTTATCCTTTGCCAACATTGTAGTGATTTATGGCCTTTGAAATTCAAGCGAGATCGTATATTATCAAATTACGCAATTGTCTGAACCTAATAATATAGACTAGCCATACATTTCGCCGAATATAATTTCGGACGTATATTATTTGTAATAGTCGTGTTCAAATCGCTATCAAAAACACTATTTAGAGTGTCATTTTCGAGCCTGTATCTTCAAACTTGCATCTTTTATCACAGTATTTCCATTTCTGGTCCGACTGTGAGCTAATCCCAACCGGAAATACAATTTCAAAACGTCAAAACAATGCGACGTCTGTATCGTATGACCCTGGAAATGCCAGAAATCGATTCTAAAGGTAGAAGTGCATCGTCCCGTCTACAGGAGCTCCTTATTGACCACTTTTACATTTTTCAAAATGAAATCTAGCTAAAATTATTGGGGGGGAGTGGATCGCCCGGCCCTTGCCTCGCCCCCCCCCCCGCCTAGTTTCCGCCACTGGTCTTTTAGCCTTTTTGCTACGTATTTGGAAAATTTATATTTTATAATAATATTTTATTGTTTTTAAAGTGTTTGCATTACATTTCTGTAAATTGTTTTTTTGAAAGTTGATGTGATATTAAAATTATGGTATAATTTCAAAATGTTTCATTTTCTTTACAGAACGGATAATTTAATTCAGGAAACTATTCGGGACAAATTCAGAGATTGTACCGTACTTACTATTGCACATCGACTAAATACTATAATGGATGCAGATAGAATAATGGTAGGTTTTTACCTTATCCCTCTCTTAAAAGGAAATTTGTAGCTGTAACCCGGATAATAATTAGGGCACCCTGTGCCAAATGTGGCCCATAAGGCCATACGAGAGAAAACTGTTAAGAGAGCATGGTTCTTTTCATATTTGATGAATAAAAGTGTTTTGTTTGTATAAAATCGTAAATAGAATCGTGTATTTTCATGGAAATAAACCCAGGGTAACATTTGGTGGCAGCGGTGGGATATAATTACAAGTAAATACGCGATTTTGATGGAAAAATGAAGGAAAAACGATAAGTTTTGTGTATATAAATATTCGTGAAATAGTTCGTACTGTATGAATCTTGGATAATTTTTGTGATTGTGCTGAAGTTTAAATATGGCAATGGACTTGGAAGAGCTTCAGCTACTCAGCTATTGATTAGACTAGCAGTGTTTCTCAAATTGGACGAGGTGAAATATCAAGGAAAATCAAAACTTAGTATTACTCGACTACTTCGAAGAGAAAATGAGGAGCAAGTAGCCCAGATTGAAGATGAGAATCAATGCCGTGTATTTCTCGAGAAAATCCGAGGACAGTTGATTGAGACTACTGATAAAGAAGCCCCTCCAAAGGAGACTGGAAACAAGTAACTTGAAGTTTTAAAACAGCAACTAAACAACTTGGAAAAAGATCATCAAAAACAAGCCGAAGCCCTCCAAAGTAAGATGGAAGAAAGTGAACTGAAAGCGACAGCGACAAGTGTAAGTAAACCAACCACAAATGATCTTAAAAGTGCACTACGTAGGGAATTCAAGATTAACGGTCAAATAGGGGAACCCAGTCAAAAGGATAAACTCACATTTGTAAGCTTGGTCAGACAGATCGAAAGTGCATCGTCTAAGGGTTACTCAGAAACAGAAGTGATTGATGGTGTAATAAGAGCAATTATTCCTAGTATGCAGCTGCGAAGTTATCTCGAGACAGTTAGTGACCTGACATTGCCAAAATTACGTGCTATTTCAAGATCACACTTTCAGGAGAAAAGTGCAACTGAACTTTACCAGCAATTAACAACAATTGTACAATCACCTGAAGAGAGTCCACAGAGTTTCCTGATAAGAGCTCTAGACCTACGTCAAAAGGTTTTATTCGCCTCTAAAGAATTAGGGGTAAAGATCAAATATGATGAAAGTCTTGTTCAAGGACTGTTTTTACACTCGCTCGAGACTGGACTTCATCATGAAGCTGTAAGAACAAAGTTACGACCATTCTTACAACAACCAGATATAACGGATGAATTGCTAATTGAACAAATGAACATAATTGTATCAACTGAAACAGAGAGACAAAATAAATTCAGTAAAGCAAGTCAGGCACGACAACGAAAAATCGACAATGTTCAAGCAGTTAAGTCCAGTTCAGCTGATGTTGAAGAACCCATTGAGCAAGATCTTCTAAACCAAGTAGTAAAAGAAAAGAAAGGACCCAAGCAAGGTGAGCTAGTTTCTGCTCTAAAGACAGTAAAAGCAGAACTTGCTGAGCTTAGGGAAACTCTGACAAACCAACAAGCGAAAGCCAAGGAGCAAGAAACTGGGTATAAGGAAAACCAATCAGGACGTAGGGGAAGATTATGTACAAAGTGTCAGGAAGCCAAAGAACTAAACTGTGACCACTGTTTTCGATGTGGTAGTTCAGACCACTTTGCTAGAGGATGCAAGAAGAGACCGAATTCGAAAAACGGAAGATGGCTACTCAGATATAAACTTCGAAGAATACAGATCGGCCCAGAGACCAGAACCAGTCGTAGTACCTGATGTAGAGATTAATGGAGACATTCCTAACGAAGGTCCTGATCTGGTGAATGTCAATGACCAAGGTGGAGAAGAATTAAATGGAGAAGGTCTTCCCCACAATGAAATCGGAAACGTAAATGCACCAGTCCAAAACGAAATGGCCGAGAATGAAGACCAACCTTGGAATGCCGAAAATATTGAGGACCCTTGGCCAGCAGAACTCCCACAACCGGTACGATTCGGATATAATCAACCGGGAAACTCAGCATTATTTTGTCAAGCTGTTAATACGAATCTGCAACCTTGGCAGATGACCCCTTACCCACCTTGGAACCCAGGATGGTTACCACAACCGCAATTTTGGTCACCGATGCAGTGCCCTTGGCAGATGTTTCATCCGCCGATGTGCAACGCATCAACGCCGTTTTACCGCATTGGACCAGTAGGAATGTGGTGACGTTGAACTTGGTAACTGTAAGTGAACTTATTATGCAAACATTTTGAACTAAGTAACCTAAGCAAAACGCTACAATCGTAGAAAGCTTGTGCGGATACGTAAGAACTGAAGTTATTAACTCGAAAGTTACATTAGAAGTCTAGTTGAATGCATTGTACGGCGAAGAAAATGCATAGTTTGGAAAATATGTTATAGTGTGAGTAGGCCTGATCAACCTACTGACTATGTAAATGACAGTGAGTTAATGTAACACTAGGAGCTTAAGCCTCTGAACATTTTAGTTGTAAATAAGCATCATGTGTGATGAACTTTTAAAGTAGGGGAGAGTGTAACCCAGATAATAATTAGGGCACCTGTGCCAAATGTGGCCCATAAGGCCATACGAGAGAAAACTGTTAAGAGAGCATGGCTCTTTTCATATTTGATGAATAAAAGTGTTTTGTTTGTATAAAATCGTAAATAGAATCGTGTATTTTCATGGAAATAAACCCAGGGTAACATAGCCATATGATTTAGTAAAGTTATTAGACTAGATTAAATAATTGCGTGTATCGCGTTCTCTTTCTTTCTAAAATCTCAAGTCACAAGGTGGGTGACATGTACTGACTAAATTATTCAAATAATCACAAGCAACCCCACAGAAAAACGATAGAAAATATTTATCTTGTGACAAAAATTTCAAATGGCGATTTCTGTCCATTATCTTAATTACTACATGTACATTGTATTGCATTTCCTTACGGTATACATTATCTTTAATTATCTTGCATAACATTACACTGGATCGCTCCGGGTTTTATTGAATATGGCAGCAGTGGTGCCTAAATTACTTTGAATTTGTACTCGAGTAAATGTAGAAGTAATTAACAATAAAATCACTTGAGTAAAAGTAAGTACTGGAGGCAAAACGTACTTAAGTAAAAAGTACAAAGTGTCCTTAAAAAATACTTGAAGTACAAAGTAAAAGTACTATTGTCTGTGTGGGGGGGGCTTCTCCAATGGATTGACATACAAAAGACACAAAACAGAACACGCAGTCTACTTTCCAGACCCCGTTGAAGATATAAGAAATCCATTAATAAAATAAATAATACTTATAAGTAAGCCACAAACGATATATTCCAGACGCATGTAGAGGTCCTATTACCTATCCCAAAATTAAAATAAATCAGGAATAAATCACGTAAAATTAAACAAAAGTTAGAAAGTAACGAAATGCTTCGCCACAAAATGAAAATAGCGAAGTAAAACATTACTTCTTAAAGCGACTTCGTTCCAAGTAAAAGTACTCCAGAAAAGGTTACTTTGTTACATGCTGACTTCTCAAAAATAGTACTCAAGAACAGTAACGAAATACATTTACTTCGTTACTTGACACCACTGAATAAGGGGATTCAAGGTTTCCGACGCCATCTTGAATTTATTGTTTTCACCATTGTGTTTGCACCCCCTGCAAACATTCCTATAGGGAATTCCATCGTGCTTGCACCCCTTGCACTATTGTGTTTCATTATGGCGTCGTTAACATTCCTATAGGGAATTCCATCGTGCTTGCACCCCTTGCACTATTGTGTTTCATTATGGCGTCGTTAACCTTGGAAGGGTCTATTGAATTGCATGCATGAAATGCAATTGCTTCCTTACACTTAGGGGCTGTTTATATGGTCCCGCTTACCCGGGGTTCAATGAAGTGTGACGTTTTTTGAGCAATTGAAATACGTGTTTCAGCCCTAGCCCTAAACAAAAGTTAGATAACTTTATATATTGTTTAAACGATATTAGGAACGCGCTAGAAGTTATGTAGTGGAAGAAGACGATTAATAACATTCAACAACATTTGTTTTTTGTCTAAAACATGGAATTTCATACAATTTGTAACAAGCAATTTTCAGTTAGATCATGAACTGCGACATATTTCAATTGCTCAAAATGCGTCACACTTCATTGAATCCCGGATAAGCGGGACCATATAAACAGCCCCTAAGTCTTTTTTTTTTACGGACAGAATTTAATATATTTTTCGTGGAGATCCATGTCTATTTATTTCGCAAAACTTTTGATCTGCAAGCTCAGATCCTCATCATTATTATTTGCACTGATTGAGATCTTCTCGTATACGGATTGAAATATTGTGATTTAATTAAATAAACGTGGAATTGAAACAAACAATTTGCCTTTTTAGGTTCTGGACGCTGGTAGTATTGTCGAATTTGACGAACCTTATGAACTTTTAAAGCGACCCAAGTCCGCGTTGTCTCTGATGGTAACACAAACTGGAAAAGAAACTTCCTTGCAGTTACAAAGAATGGCCAAGACTGCGCATGAAAGTCGATCAAATAGCTAGCGCCACCATGCGTTACAAATGACAATGTATAAATAATAAACACTATACGTATAATTTGAATCTTACGCAGTTGCCGTCCTACTTTGCTGGATTTGTTTTCTTTTATTTCCTCTTACATGTATTGTATATTTCTTTAGTAATTTCTGTTGGGTTTATTTCTATTAATAAAGCTTACTTGATCATTTCTTATAGTAATAGCATTATTATAGTAATGGTATTATTTCTTATATTAATAGACTATTTTCTCTCCAAGGAAAATTTAATGTAAATCTTATATATGCTTCCTCGTTGTTGATTCACAAGGGACCTTAGGGACGTCTTCTCATTTTCCTGTCCGCACTAATAATGATATTTGCGATACGCAAATTAAGAGAACAAAATAAAATAAATAAAGAGAACAAAAACCAATAAATATTTTGACTTACCATTATGTTCAATTTCGTATTTTGACTTCGATTTAAAGACTACTATTATGATAAATTTTGCATGTGAACTGAAAATTTGATTAGCGATACGGTCCGTTATTACTGGGAAAAAAACTGGATTTAGCGTGGGAAAATGGTATTGGCCGCCATCTTGGCTTCACTTTTCTCATAGGACGAATGACTGAATTTCTTTCTCCAGATATATATATATAGAGCTCAATGGAAAAAACACCTATATTGCATGGTACCTTTAGAAACGCTATTTGCAACGTTGTACATTCCATATCGGATAGGTGCTTTTTCGCGCCGCTACGCAAAGTGTAAATGTAGCCTGAGAATATTTCATGTTGTACTAATGTAAGAATGTTTAAATTCAGCTATTTCCGTTTCAGTAAACTGAAAATGAAAGGCAAGCAGCTGTATGTTATACACTAATTAAAATCAACATGCACGACCCTTGTGTATGTACATGTGCTCTTTTTCTGTTTGGTACCTTTGTTTAGCCTGATGCGCACAGTACGATTGGAGTTTCCAATTTTAATCGTTTAACCTACCCAAGTAAATCGGTATATGCCCAGACATCCGTCAGTGACCCGATTATGAATTTGGGCGATTTCTACTTGGTTGAGTGACGGTGTCGCCGAAAATTTCCTTTCTCACAATAATCCCCCCCCCCTGACTGAAGAGCGAATTTCCTGGGATATTCACCCTCTTCAGGATATTCGTCCCGCTCTACTGTATAGGCTATTTCGATTTAAAAACAAGTCATCAAGTCAATTATGCGAAAAAACTATACAGGTTAACAAATTTATACTGCGGTTTCAGTAAGCATTTTACAATTGTAGAGGAATAAATTGGAACAATGGCACACGAAAATAGGAGAGCTTGCAGCTGTTCTATAATGTGTATCTCGCTACTTCAATTACGACTACTGAAATTTAGCAAATTGAACTAATAGTGAACCAAACAAATTTCAAGACTAGCAAAGTTAACCGTTGCCGCGTGATCATGCAAAGTGCATGGAATCTTTTGCAGAGCATCATTGACATGTAAATTTGGATAAGTCGCAACTGATAATGAGGTCATCGTTCATAATAATCTTGATTCTATATGCTAGTATTCCAAAGGTCGCGGGTTCGATTCCCACCGTGGCCAAGCAAACTTTTCAGCTTGCCCGGTGTGGATGCACACTCAGAGTAACAGCACAAACATCATATTCACCAGTCCTGAGTACATAACACCAACACACACAAATATTATATACAGGGTGTCTCAAAAAAAACTCTATGGAAATTCAACAGGCTGTCGTGCATCATAAACGTTGCTAAACAATTCAATTTTTACATAGGATGAAAGAACAGTTATTTAGCTTTTCAACGACACTCTTTTTAAATCGTAACGATGAGAAATGGCCACATATACTCGTCAAATAAAAATTGCCGGCCGAAATCACATTCTTCCACCGTTGGGAATTGCATGGAAAACTAAACATAGACAATTCCCAAGAGGGAATTAAAATTGAATGTTAAATTATCTAAAATGAGCTCACCTCGTCAATCTTCGTGTTGGTGAGACAATATGAACGTCATTAAACATAGTTCAATTAACCACTGAACAGAGAACATTCGTAATCAAAAGTTTACGAAACAAATGGCTTGCAGCAGTCTCGCGTTGCTTTTGGATTGATTAACTTTGCATAATTAATTATTTTCAATTCCCAACGGTGAAAGAATGTGATTTCGATCGGCAATTTTTATTTGACGAGTATGTGGCCAATTCGCATCGTTACGATTTAAAAAAGGTATCATTGAAAAGCTAAATAACTGTTCTTTCGTCCTATGTAAAAATTGAGTTGTTTAGCAAGGTTGATGATGCACGACAGCCTGTTGAGTTTCCATAGCGTTTTTTTTTAGACACCCTATGTATAGCAAACTTTTTAATGCGAGGAAACTTTCCATCCAAAAAATCACAAATCTGTGAAATTCACTATTTAGCTTACATTAATAACCGATATTTTGAAGTTGTTTTAATTTTTCTTTATGTAACCATATTTACATTGGGACTGGTTCTTCTGGAAATTTATGAAAATCAATTCCATTTTTCACTGTAATTCTCATTACTTCTCCGACCTTTTCTTCGTCTTGCAAAAGTTGCATAAACCCTTTTGCAACAACATCAACACTATAAAGAAAAAGGGAGAAAATGCAACAACCTCGTTTGTCGCAAATTTACATCACCATCTTCAGAAAGTCAATTGGAAGAATTCTTAGTAACATATTATAAGAAATATGTTTGGTGCAAATGCGCGGCCAGGATTGCTACTGTTTTGAAGAAAAGTTGAATATTAATTGATGCGTATTCACTACCATGCATGGTCTCAAGCTACAATCTTAGACAAAACTTGTGGAGATCAATAATCTGAATGACCTTTTAATTTATCACATGTATAATAGGAGAAAACTTTGCTTCATTTCCGTCGCTCCATGTCAATGTTGTTTTTTCACATAGATGTCGCTGACTTTGACAGGGTTCGTACAAAACTTGAAAGTCCTTGAATGTCCTTTAATTTGAAAACAAAAATTCAAGGCCTTGCATGAATGTCCTTGAATTTGTAAAGAAGTACTTGGAAGTCCTGATTTTACTGACTTGTTACCCCTTTTCTTCAGTAGTCCTTGAATTTGCTGATACATAGCCTTGAATGTCCTTGAAAAGTCCTTGCATTTGACTCTTCCTCACATCATGGACGAAACCAAAAAAGTTTTCGTCATGCACATTGATTTGTGGAGGGAGAGGGGGAAAATTCGTGAAGATTTTTATTATTCAGCTCACTCCCCAACGGTTCTTTTCAGTGACCGATTACAACAAGTATTACGCTTACGTATTACCTAGTACTTAGCCTAGACTAATTATCTTTACAACAATTGTGATTAGATATTACTTTCCTAATTATGTACTGTTTATCCTAAACCACCCTCACAACTTTCCCTGTGGGAGGAACCGAAGCACCCGGAGAAAACCCACGACTTTCGGCAGAACGTTGACTGACTCTTTTCACATGAGCCCATAGCGACGATCGAAACCACGTCCTCATGCAGAGACAGAGGTGAAAGTCGCTTGCTCTGACGAGAAAGCGTCTTTCACCTCTGAGAACGTGAAAGGCGCTTGCATGCTCTCTTGCTCTATGTGGTTGGATAAACGACTTATAAATTATGACGAGAACTGATAGTGGGGGATATGATTTCAAACGTCTGAGAGCTCCAATTACCTTGGTTACTTTTTCAGTAACCATGATTATATGTTCATCACAAGATAAGAGCTCATCCAATCAATGCCTAAGCTTTTGTGTGTTTTCTGATTTACCCGCTTAATATCAGGTGTGGTTGCTAACCTTTGGCGTGTGTATATAAACATACATTTAGTTTTAAGAGCATTTAAACTTACTAGTTTATTAGCATCGAGCCAACTTTTTAGGGTATTTAAGTAGCTCTGTTCATAGCATAGAAAACGTGGTTGTATACACATTATCTGCATACTGCAATGTCAAATTTGTACTATCAGCAAAAAGGCGGCACTCAGACATGAGATTACAATCTGGTAGATCGTTAATATATATTAGAAATAGGAGTGGCCCCAACAAAATAGATCCTTGTGGGACCTCACACAAAATACTGCATTTCTGCTGTTGTATATTATCAATAACAGTAACTTGAGATCGTTCTGAGAGATAATTACGAAAAAGAATTACCGTATTGTTACTGAAACCATGGCATGAGAGTTTTTTTTAATAGAATATTATGACCAATGGTATAAATAGATCAGTAGCATAAGTAATGCAGTTAATGTGGAATGCAAGGGCCTAAAACCAGATTGTAAATTAGAAAGGGGATTGTATGTAGTTAAATATTCTTACATTTGGTCAAGGATTACTATAATGAATTTCTCAAAGATTTTAGAAATTACAGATAAGGCAGATATTGATCTATAATTATTAAGATTCATTTTACAACCCTACTTATGATTAACAGGAGTGATCGTGACACTTGCACTAGCTTTTCTAATCATTTGGCATTGATAGAGTTTCTCAACAGTTTTGTCTAAGATTGTATATATAGGCAATTGTATATATATATATATATATATGTTGAGTCGTTGCACTTATTTAATTATGCTCTGGATATCCATTGAGCAATCTGCCAAATGTTTTTGTATTAAACAACGAAACGTAATTCTATATATATATATATATATATATATATATATATATATATATATATATATATATATATATATATATATATATATATATATATATCGCAACAACGCGTAACTTTAGTCTTAAGACTTACGTTTGCACGCCCATTGCATCGACTGCCTGCTTCATAACAGGATTCTGAGTGAGCGTTTTCAACATATCTGTGTCCACACATGATGGGCACATACAATTCAAACGAACCCCTCTACTCAATGCCTCCTTAAAGAAATAAAATAAAAGGATGTAACATCGAAAACATGGTTTCGAATGGAAGCAATGTTGAACAATGTTTAATGAGGTTGATTGATTTATGGAGAGGCTGAGCTCAATTTGCAAAATAAACAATGGAGAGGCTGAGCTCAATTTCTCGGTCATGCTATGGGGCCCTGCACAACTACAGCTGGTCAGGGCTCGTTAGTCAGAATGTCAATTCTGGTGTTAGCATTACGGGTCTGACCTTCATAAATTGAGTAGAAATAAATTGGAGCAACTGTTAGTTTTGACTGTACACAGTGATAAATATTTGTCTTGATAAAAATCTTAATCGCGTTCTACCTCGCCCCCAGGGCCTTCGTGCTGAGAAGGCCCTGGCATCGGCTAGAATTTTACACCACAAATTTTGCGGTGTGAATAAATTAAGACCACTTAATATCAATGTGCGAAATTGACTTGTTCTTCAAAATTTCCTATACTTGCTGCTCCAAGACAAGGTAAATTTTATATATTTTCAATCCTCGAGAAATAAGCTATCGGAAAATGTTTGAATTGATTCACGAATTGAACGACCAGAAATTTCGAATTGAACGACCAGAATGAACGACCAGAAATTTCGGCCCCCAAAATTGAAAGTCGAGCTAACAAGGAAAGCTAAGCCACCCCCCCCCCCTTGAGCCCCCTCCACTACACCCCTGCTTATAAATATATGATATCGAATAAACGTTCAAACACCATGGGACTCAAATGCATCTATCATTTCTATACACCCTTTTCATAAATGGCTGCCGATTAAAAATTCTTTTATGTGCATATAAATTGGCCCAACTAGCCTCGTTTCTGGGTAGAAATTCCTTTGAAATTTTAACATGAGTACGAGGCTAGTTGGGCCAATTTATATGCACATAAAAGAATTTTTAATCGGCAGCCATTTATGAAAAGGGTGTATGACATACAATATACAAACCTTAGCAAAACCTTTTGTGAAACCGATAATGCCATGTTTCGTTGCCGTATATTCACAATAGTATGGAGAATATGAAAGTCCTAAAGTAGGAACAATCACAAATACTAACAGATACAATCATGAAATTTGCTGTATCGGTGTATTGTATTCAGGTGAATAAGATCCTTGTGTGATGTTACTCTGAATGTATATCCACACCGGGCAGGCTTGAAAAATATGCCTGGCCACGGTGGGATTCGAACCTACGACCTTTGGAATGCTAGCCCAATGTTCTGCCAACTGAGCTACGCGGTCAGGACGGTTCGAGTGTGCGATATTTCGGAACTGAGTCTAGTTCCTTCGATATCAGTATAATCTAATAATCATGAAATTTGCTGTATTGGTGTATTGTACTCAGGTGAATAAGATCCTTGTGTGATGTTACTCTGAGTGTATATCCACACCGGGCAGGCTTGAAAAATCATTGCAATCATTGGGCTAGCATTTCAAAGGTCGTAGGTTCGAATCCCACCGTGGCCAGGCATATTTTTCAAGCCTGCCCGGTGTGGATGTATACTGAGAGTAACATCACACAAGAATCTTATTCACCTGAGTACAATACACCAATACAGCAAATTTCATGATTATTAGATTATAATGATATCGAAGGAACTAGACTCAGTTCCGAAATATCGCACACTCGAACCGTCCTGACCGCGTAGCTCAGTTGGCAGAGCATTGGGCTAGCATTCCAAAGGTCGTAGGTTCGAATTCCACCGTGGCCAGGCATATTGTTCAAGCCTGCCCGGTGTGGATATACACTCAGAGTAACATCACACAAGGAGATACAATCATGTTAAATAAAATAAAATTATAAATATTAAAATATATATAAACTTTTTCAGATGATTCGAATATTTATACGTGGGAAAAATAATACCGGTACACTAGAAAAAACGCGTTCTGGGCGAAATTTTTATTCAAATTTTTACAAGGAAGAAGGTCTGTCGAATTTCCATAAAAATACATGTGGCCTTGTACAAAAATCAACAGATTTATAGGTGACTATTTATTTCGACTTTTTAAAGTTTCTATAAATTATATGCAACCCACTCCCCCAAATAACACAAAAATTCTTGCGAGCATGCCCCCTCCCCCTAAATTAGATATTGGTAAAGACCTGTCTGCATTTCAAAACTCATGCACAACTCAAAGAAAATTCCTTATGAGTATTGAGAGTTTTGAGAATTTCGGGTTTTTTCACATATCTCTTTTATGAACAGAACAATATTGCGTTTGTTTGAGGCCCTTTTGACTTACATTGCAACGGTCTGTGCTTATAGACGATTGTGATGATACGATCACACTATAGATGAAATGCTGGACACTGCCATCTTTCAAAAACATATTTCTCAGGAACAGATAAGCCGGAAACCCTTCTTGAAAAGCACAATATATTACTCACCAGACATAGATCCCATTTGTATTATATTTCCACCACTTCCACCATTATTGGTATCCATATATTTCAGAGCAAGGAGCGTGCCACGTATCACAGATGTCTTAATTTCAAAAAGGAAATAAAAGTATAAATATTAATAAGGATTATAATATTGTTTGCCTGTCCCATTTAATTTAACTGCTTTTCGAAAGTACTAAAAATATCAGTTAACGAAGAGAGTCGAATATGATGCACACATATAGCAGGCGCACGTTTACAAGAGCATTACAAGAAACGAAACCCAGTAGACCTATACTACTCTTTGGATGATTTCTGCATTTTTTAATGAGTAAAATGCAGTCTAGGCTTAATAATTATGCTCCATTATTTCTCATGTGATTCCTGTGGGTTATTTTTTTTTACTCACCAGATTAGTATCAACGAACTTCTTGATATCAGATGTTGGTAGAGTGCCAGCATTATTGCATAAGATGTCCAGACGATTTTGTTTCTTAAAAACCTGTTCAACAGCATCTGCATCCATTCAAATTAGGGAAAATTATTTTTATAATATATTTATATAATTGCAAGCAGCGAGTGAGCTGATGGCATCCTAACCTCAGGTATGCATGGTTCGATGTTCAACCAGTTTTTTTTTCCACTGATCTAGTTAAATTGCTTGTGAACACATTTTTTTACAGACAGTTGAAAATAATTTGTCACTCACGTGGGCTGCAGAGAAAAGCAATTTTCGGGTCAGTTTTTCAAATTTTTACATTTACAAGAAATGTATGATTTTATAACAAAAATGTTCCATACTTTCAAATTCTTCCTGACTGGTCACATCACACTTTAAACACATTGCTGCACCTTCACAATACTCATCATTGAATTGTTTTTGGACGTTCTTCATTTCCGCTTCGTCTATGTCGAGTATATACACCTAAAATTGATGTTTAAACATCGTTATTTTACGCTGAGAGTTTTACTATTGACTATTTAAATGAAGCACGAAGAATGAGTAAAAAGGCCCGATATTATCGAAAATTAATTATAATTAAGGGGGAGTTCACCAGAGGTCGCGGAAGCATTTCGAAAGAGGAGTGGCATTGACCAAAAGGGGCACTTTTGTATATGATCAAAATCAAACGATTTTATAACGTTCACGAGCCGAAGGAAAATTTTTGGAATCTCTATAACGCCTGTTACTACTGCGAAAAGGGCACTTTCTTTCCAGCAA